CAATGCAGGTTAATTCAGCAAGATACTCTAATTTAGAAATTTTTTCATTTTGTTCTAATAAATATCCAGGAGTCATTCCAAGCATGCATTGCTTAGGCAGGTGTCTTGGGCCAATAAGTAGCACATGATGTTTTCCAGTCCCAAACAGACTACTGGACTGGTCAATTGTTCCTGAAATTTGAGATTTCACAGGACTTTCAGGGTGTCCTAAGTTACCTAGGCCTCCTCTTCACTGAGGTGGGAAACTTCTTTCAGCTTCAGAGCTGCATTCCCTTCTGGGAAACCTTCTAGGGGCCGCATGCCAGTGGCAGAGAGCCAGAGGCAATGAAGATGTATTTCACCTTTGTACTGTAGGATGTTGCTTCAAAAGCCAAGCATCACAAAATTTGGTTGCAACTGTTTTCTGAGTGGAGTGTCAAACCATACCAAACAAATTGGAGGCAGGGGTGGGCAGTTTGGTGAATTTTCTGTTTTAAAAGAGGGAAATCATGGAGGCATTGTGTGCAGACTGTCAATTGGTATAAAACTATGGAAGTTAGGTCCATTTTGCAGAGATTTATCTACGTTTATTTAAGTATAATCTAAGTATAAATGTATGATATATGTGTCTGTCAAAGTCACAGTTTAAGGTACACCCTAAATGCATAATCAAAAATGTCATGTGGGAAGTATTTCCTAGACCAGTGTTTCCCAACCGGTGTTCCGCGGCACACCAGTGTGCCGTGAGACCTTGCCTGGTGTGCCGTGGGAGGGAGGCGGGAGAGGCGGCGCGGCGCGGCGCCCGAGATCGCTTCTCCCCACCGCCCCTTGCTTCAAAAGAGGTCCGGGGACAACGGGAAGCGCTTCGCGCTGCCCCCGGACCTCTTTTGAAGCAAGGGGCTGCGGGGAGATCGCTTCTCCCGGTGCTCCGAAGCGGGGCGGGGGGCGGGAACCTGCAGCGCGGAGCGCGGGGCGCCCTTTGGAGGACGCCCCGTGCTTTGCGCAGCTGTCCGCAAGCCTTGGGCGCCTGGGGGAACTCCCCCCCCGGCGCGCAAGGCTTGCGGGCGGCAGCCTGCAGCGCGGAGCGCGGGGCGCCCTTTGGAGGACGCCCCGTGCTTCGCGCAGCTGTCCGCAAGCCTTGGGCGCCTGGGGGAACTCCCCCCCCGGCGCGCAAGGCTTGCGGGCGGTAGCCTGCAGCGCGGAGCGCGGGGCGCCCTTTGGAGGACGCCCCGTGCTTCGCGCAGCTGTCCGCAAGCCTTGGGCGCCTGGGGGAACTCTCCCCCCGGCGCGCAAGGCTTGCAGGCGGCAGCCTGCAGCGCGGAGCGCGGGGCGCCCTTTGGAGGACGCCCCGTGCTTCGCGCAGCTGTCCGCAAGCCTTGGGCGCCTGGGGGAACGCCCCCCCGGCGCGCAAGGCTTGCGGGCGGCAGCGCGGAGCGCGGGGCGCCCTTTGGAGGACGCCCCGTGCTTCGCGCAGCTGTCCGCAAGCCTTGGGCGCCTGGGGGAACTCCTCCCTCGGCGCGCAAGGCTTGCGGGCGGCAGCCTGCAGCGCGGAGCGCGGGGCGCCCTTTGGAGGACGCCCCGTGCTTCGCGCAGCTGTCCGCAAGCCTTGGGCGCCTGGGGGAACTCCCCCCTCGGCGCGCAAGGCTTGCGGGCGGCAGCCTGGAGCGCGGGGCGCCCTTTGGAGGACGCCCCGTTCTTCGCGCAGCTGTCCGCAAGCCTTGCGCGCCCAGGGGAACTCCCCCCCGCGTGCACGGCTTGCGGGCGGCAGCCAGCAGCGCGGAGCACGGGGCGCCCTCCGTAGGAGGCTGCGGAGGGTGGCGCGGAGCTGCCCGCGCTCCAGGGCTTCTTGCAGCTCCGCGCCACCCCCGGATCCCGGTGCGAAGCCGCCCGGGGCTGCGGAGGGTGGCACGGAGCTGCCTGCGCTCCAGGGCTTCTTGCAGCTCCGCGCCACCCCCCCCCCATCCCGGCGCGAAGCCGCGCGGGGCTGCGGAGGGTGGTGCGAAGCTGCCTGCGCTCCAGGGCTTCTTGCAGCTCCGCGCAACCCCCCGGATCCCAGCGCGAAGCCGCACGGGGCTCTGGAGGGTAGTGCAGAGCTGCCTGCATCCCGAAGCCTGGTGCGCGCTGAAGAGCGCCCCCGGGCTTCACGCACCTCTCCGCAAGCCTGGGGAGACCAGTGTGGCTCCCTAGGCTTGCGGATATCAGGCTGTTCTGGGGGCTGGGGTCGGGGGAAGCTTGGGTTTCCCCCGCGCCTGCCCCGTGCCTGGGGAGGGGAAAATTTTTTTTTCTTTATTCTCCCCCAAAAAAATTAGGTGCGTCTTATGGGGCGGTGCGTCCTATGGGGCGAAAAATATGGTAGTCAATATAGGCACAGAGTTAAATTTTTTAACATTTTCTAATGGTGGTGTGCCTCGAGATTTTTTTCATGAAACAAGTGTGCCTTTGCCCAAAAAAGGTTGGGAAACACTGTCCTAGACAAAAGCCGCTCTTAATTTTTATGCTTCCTCCAGGAAAGATCTACAAGCAGAAGACTTCCAGATGGCATTGATAAAGGTAGCTTACCAAAGGAAATGTACTATCTTGCAATACATCTTCCAAATAGGCTTAGAACTATTTTAAATTATAAACAAGATAATGCATCAAATTCCACTAAAGAGTATTTTGATAATTAAGTGTAGGTGTTTGCAGAGAGCTGCCTAATATTTCTTTCTTGAAAGCACCACAAGCTTAGTACATTTGCATATAAGGTTTTGCATCATGGAGCAAACACTTCATGTGAAAAAGGATAAACGCGGCAAGCAGATTATCTGCTGAAATGGTTCATAGACTACTTAACATTAAAGTATTGTAAATGAGATTTCTCATTTGTTGAAATTGCATTGCCATCAGCTAAATACAGATCCATTGCAATGAACTACTCCCTTCATAGTCACAGGTGCCATACTAACTGAAGGCAGTTCACACAAACAGGGACATTTTCTCTGTTGGGTGGTATATATTGTTGTCCCCACACAAGCAAATGTTTCAAATTTTGTTCCAGCTGAAGCTTCCAAACTGTCTTTAGAGGCAGCCCCACAAATAATGCATTGCACTAACCTAGAGGTTACCAGAGCATAGGCCACAGAAGTTAGGCTATCCCTGTCCATTCAGGGACATAACTGGGCCACCAGCTGAAGCTGACAGAAGGCACTCCATACCACCGAGGACACAAGTGGTAGTAATGGATCCAGTAACACTCCCAAGCTATGCACTTGCTCCTTAAGAAGGAATGTAACCCCCCAGTGGTGTAGCGTGGGTTGTCAGCACCCGGGGCAAGGCAAGTAATTTGCGCCCCCTAACCCGTGTAGGTGTAAAAGGAGAAATAGAGCTGTGTGTCGTCAGCATACTGCTGACAACACACTCTGAAACTCCAGATGACTCCACTCAGTGGGTTCATATAGATATGAAACAGTATGCTGATAAACCTGAACCCCGAAGGACCCCCCCCCAACTGAAAGCCCCATGGTGCCGAAAAACACTCCACAAACATCACCTGCTGAAGATGACCATACAAGTAGGACTGGAACCACTGCAAAGCAGTGCCACCCATCCCCAACTTGGATAGCCTCACCAGGAGGTTGCAGTGGTTGATGGTACTGAAAGCAGCTGAGAGCACAATGCCTTGTCTGTCTCCTAACTGAGGTCATCATATAAGGTGACAGGGGCAGTTTCTGTGCTAAAGCCAAGCCGAAACCTTGATCGCTCTCCCACACATTCCAGAGATTCATGTATATTCCTTTTGCTGCAAGGCCCTGCCTGGGTTCACTGATGCAGTGACCTAACATTGGCTGTCAGTTCTGATGCAATTCTGTAGGCACTGCGCTGCCTAAGAAGCCATTTCGCCTGCAGGTCATCAGATTGCAACCACTTCCAAGAGTCCATACTGGCATGGATGAAATCTGATGCACCTTTGAAGGAGTTCCTCCACACAAACAGCTGTTTCAGAGGGTTCCTGTGGCAACTCAATTGGACCAGTTCTTGTGTGAATCAGGCTCAGCTAAGTACACAAGACAAAAGAGGCAGTTTCAGTGACCTTTCTGCTGGAGATGAAGCTGTGGGGTTTCAGCATTTGAAGGTCTTCTTCAAGAAGGGAAGGCATTATCTGATACAACTGAAAGAATCAAATGAAAAAGCTCTGTAACTCTTGTGCAGGTTTATGCAGTTCTTCTATCTAGCTAAGCTGACTGTTCTCTACTACCTCTCTTGCTTGTAGGAAGGTAGCAAATCTCCCCACCCAACTTCTTGCCACGTGACTTCCCAGTGACTGCCATGTACACGATCGCTTTGTTTTCCAGAATGATATGTAATGTTTTTGGAATATCAATTCCTTGATCAGCTCTGGGCTAGGGATAGACTAGTTCAACCCAGGACTTGCAGTAGGCAGGCAGGGAAAAGGAGAAATTCTGGATGAAAGAACACCAGTCTGCATACAACTGTAAGCAAGGTAGCAACTCAAAAATAAACCAACTAATAAGCGCAGTCTGAGTCTAGGTTCTTATTTCTAAGAGTTTCAGGCCTCTTGACACAACATGATGTTCTGCAAAACTGTGACTTCAGTGTCACATCCCCTAATTCACATGGATTTGGGTAGAAGCGGACTACCACCTACAACTGATACCTCATGCTCCCTTCCATGTGTTCAATGAATGGGTTGAGGGGCGCATGACTGCAGCTACTGGCCCTCCTCCAATCTCTATGTGGGGTTGCCAGTCCCGTCTTCAACTACAGACTAGGTGAGAATATGCTTTCAGCTTTACATACATAGAGCTAGTATGCACAGTCAGGACCTCTTGCACAACATCACATGCATGTAGTGCCCATTTCTGCCCAATGTGCGAAGGAGCAGGAATGGTGACCCTAAGCAGAGCCATAGCAGGTCTAGTGGGCACATCCTTGCTCCTTTCCACAGGTTGACCGACTGGGTGGAAGGAAGCCTGAGAAGCGTAAGAGAATGTAAGCAAAGTAGCAATGATTGGAGATCTTACCTGTACACTAGTAAAAGTGGTATACTGATAAGCTTTAACTACCAGGTAATTTGCTTCTATATCTATTATCCCCAGGATCATGTACTTCCACCATCTTCGTTTCAAGATTGCCAGTAAGTTTTCTTCTCCTGCATTGGGACAGGGAAAGAGGGAGGGGGGAAGAGTTTTAAAAAGATTAGATTTATAGCCATGACAATAATCCACTGGGTTTCATACAGAAGTGCTGCAGAAGGTGCTACATAGGATTACTAATGACCGGGGAAGGTCGAAGAAGCTCCTGCTCATTTACATACAAGTAAATTAAATATTCCTTACTGGCAGCCACTGAGGCTAAGCTAAAAATAAATAAATAAAGCATCTCAGTTGCCTTTTCATTTGCCCCTTCACCTCCTGTTAATCCTGTGGCTAGGATAACATCTGTACAATATCAAGTCAAACACACTGGACTCACCCATGAGGGTCACACACATACAATGAGGTGGATTTCCTCCCTTCTTTTTGCATAACTGGTAACTTGGCTTCCAAGAATCAATTTTGTGCAAAGCCAAAATTGTTCTTCAATGTCCTTGCAGAGGAATCCTATCAATCACACAATCCCTGATTTCCACTTCGTGAAGACTGCCAGTACAACAAGGACGACTGATTAAATCTACAGTTTCCTAGAGGTTAAATTGTCTTAACGTTAGGCCAGGGATTATTACTATGTCTGATACAAAAGAAAATGAACATGCAGCTAGAGTTTGGGTATCAAGCTCCCTCCTTGTTCCTCTGATCTAGCAGGATTTCATGAGGGTCACAGTATGGACAATATGCTATTGCTGCAGATGAAGATTCTTAAACCAACTTGAACATTCAGGATGAAATTCCTCTTCTCCAGCACTGGAACAACATCTAACCTTGCAGATGTTAGTGGAAATATTATGCAAACACCAAAAGGAAGCTGGGGCATATTTCACTGGCCTTTCACAACTTGGATTGCCTAAACCAATTGTGTGATTCAAATGGCAATTTGTTCATTAGCAAATATCACCCGCCTTCTCAATAGTTAATAGAATCAGAATGTTTCCAATTAGAAGTGTAAAGGTTGCATTCTAATTATGTCCTGTTCTACTTACTACATTGAGATTGCAAAATTAAAAACAGGCACTGTTTCCTCCTCCCAAAATGAAGAAAAGAAGCAGTGGGAGCCGCAACAATGGTTACATTAAATACTATGTCCAGATTAATCTGTCCAAATGATTCATTGATATTTCTTTAAAAATAAAAAAATAAAGGCACTGGAATGAACCAGTCTGTTTTGCTGTATTGTCATATAATTCCATTAGCCTTTATTCTCTAAAAGAGCAATGAGCATAAAAGTATTCTTTTCTTGCATAACATGTTATATTTGAAATATACAATACACTTGGTCATTTTCTGTAGATTTGAGAAGAATAATAGAATCATAGAATTGTACAGTTGCAAGAGACCCTGGTGGTCATCTAGTCCAAACCCTCCCAATGCAGGAATCTCAACTAAAGCATCCATGGCATACTCTGCTTAAGTATGGCTAATTTGGCAACCCGTTTTACTGCCTTCAATGAGGTTTACTTCCAAAAAAGTATTCATAGGACTTCACAGTGCTCACAGGCAAGGAACCTTCACATGGATTTGCTTATTAATTATAATTAAGGGATGCACTGTACTTCCCAGAAGCATTTGGGGATTTAGCCTATTAAAGGTGGTGCATAACCTGAAGGTAGTTTAAAAACATTCTCTCCAGAGTTGCCATACCAAAGTGGCAAATTACAGTACTGTTGCAGTACTGAAAAACAAAGCAAGCGAAATGGGCAGGTTCATTTTAAAAGCTCAAGTGAGTATGTGGGTGGAGAATACTTAGGGAAGATTAACAATACTATGAAGCATTGCCTCTTAGAACATTGGCCATGGTGAATCAACTGAGGCAGGCTTGTAGTTATGATTTCAATGGATTGTACGAGAGCCAGTGGCATATATGGGTTGTCACAGAATGCCATGGGACTTTGAGCAGTTCTCAAAGCCTGCCCAAAGCTGATTCTTGCTTTCCAATTAGCCTTTTTTATAAGATAGAAATTATCCCTTTACTATAAAAGCAACCACGGTCACAAGCAGCAGCATCTAAGTCAGGTGATGTACATGGATTGCTTACAGCGCCAACAACACTAAACAAAGGAACCTCCAATGAAACTCTGTAAGTGGCTGGATCACGCTTATTAACTGAGTAATATTTCATCCCTAACATACTATTAACTTTAAGATCCCAGCTGAATAATGAAAAGCAGGGGCAATATTAAAATGTATGTATTTGCAGTCACTTTAAAATTCGGTATCATAAAAGGGTTGAAAACATAGGGTGTAATTTAACCGCACTGTTCTGCTAGAAGCCAGCACAAGGACTCCTGCTAGTGACATTCTTCCTTTCTTCACTTTTTTTTTTGACGTCACTCCAAATGTCAGGCTGAAATATATTTCATAGAGTCATAGATTTTAGAGTTGGAAGGGACCCCAAGGTTATCACGTCCAATGTCCTCCAATGCAGGAATTTCAACAAGATCATACTTGACAGATGGCCACCCAACCTCTGCTTTAAAACCTCCAAGGAAAGAGTCCACCACATCTCAAGGGAGTGTGCTTCATCATCAAACAGCTCTTACTACCGGAAAGTTCTTCCTGATATTTAGTCGGAATCTCCGTTCTTGTAACTTGATGCCATTGTTTCGGGTCCTGCCCTCTGGAGCAGGAGTAAACACACTTGCTCCATCTTCCATGTGACAACCCTCCCTCAACTGTTCCTCATAAGGCTTGGTTTCCAGATCCTTTATCACCTTGGCCGTCCTCCTCTGCACACATTCCAGCTTGTCAATATTCTTCTTAAATTGCAGTGTCCAGAACTTCAGGTGTGGTCTGACCAAGGAAGAATAGAGTGGTACTATTATTTCCCTGGATCAAGACACTATACTTCTGTTGATACAGCCTAGAATAGCATTAGCTTTTTTTGCTGCTGCATCACACTGTTGACTCATGTTAAGCTTGTGGTCTACTAAGACCCCTAGATCCTTTTCATGTGTACTACTGGCAAGCCATGTGTACTACTGGCAAGCTTATATTTCTGCAACTACTTCTTCCTGCCTAAGTGTAGAACCTGACATTTGCCCCTATTGAAATTCATTTTGAGAGTTTGGATCCAGTTCTCCAATCTGTTTAGGTCAATTTGAATCCCAATTCTGTCTTCTGTGGCATTGACTACTCCTCCCAGTTTCGTATCATCTAAAAATTTGATGAGTATCCCCTCAATACCTTCATCTAAGTTGTTTATAAAGATGTTGGACAATAGTGGGCCCAGGATGTGTCTCTAAATGAATGAAATGATTGAGAAATGTCCTGCAGTCTGTAAAGATGTAGTGAGAGGTATGAATGTTTTGATGTGTAAGTAGGCTGGTGGGAACAAATAAGGTTGAAGATAACTTTCAAAATGGCAGACACTGCAGAGGTTTGCAAGAACCTCTAGAACTGTGAAGTTCAAAGTTTTCATGGTGCTTTGACAAGTGGGTAAAAATAAAGCAAAATGAAAAGAAGCCCTCAAAATTCCCAGCTTAGCATATGGTGCCACAGTACATGAATTTGTGTTCTTGGTCTTGCATTCAGGAACACATAAAACTGAGAAAGAGATGATTTGCAGCCTTTGCCATTCTGGCTGTGGCTGGAAAGTGTGGTCAAAAACACCAGGAGGTGCCAGGTTACTTACTGAAAACTATTATATCTCATAAACAGATGAATATATGACTTTTTTGTGTGGGGGGGTGGGTGTGAAAGGTTCAGGTAGCTTGTTCAGATCACTGTTGTCAATCACAGCTTCCTCTTCAGCAGACTTAAAATAAGTGTACATTGTTGGATATAATGGCAGAAAGTCAAGTGTTAACAGACTTATTGTGCCAACAGCGCTGCGTAGGTGCAGGTATCAAAGCATGTATTCAAATCTGTTAATCATGGGTTTCACTGAAAAAGTAAGGGCTAACCACAGGCGAGAGTATTTATCTGAGGAACAATGGAAACTAAATTAACTGAAAAATGAATTATGGGATGAATGCAATTAGTTAATCTCCTAAATGCACTCCCGCCCAGATAACCTCTCACCCAGCTGTCAACCGTCCAAATCCCCACCTACTCCAGTTGGCAATCGAAGCTCTCTTCACATCCTTCCCCTCCTTGCCTTAACATACCATACTCCAAGTGATCACCTCCTCTCTCCCCTCCATGCTCAAGCCCTAACACATCTGCCAACAGCTCCAGGAATAGAACTTTATGAAAACTGCAGTGTCAGTGGCCCAAGACATATTATTCTAATGCTATGAAAATTCAATTACCGTATTTTTCCCTCTATAACACGCAGATTTTTTCTCCTAAAAAGGAAGGGGAAATGTCTGTGCGTGTTATAGAGCGAATGTGTGGTCCCTGGAGCCAAAAAATCAAGCAAAAGTCAAATCGCGAGTCACGGAGAAGGGAAACCTGAAAAGAGTTTCAGGTTTCCCTTCTCCGTGACTGCTTTCCTGCATTCTGCCTCAGGGTCTTACTGACCACCCTCCTCTGTTTCGTTGCTGTGATTGCTGAAACGGAACAAAGAGCAGGGAAAGCCCCTCCCCTCCAGGCAAGCAGAGTGTCGTTCTTTCTAATTCCTCTCTGTGCTCCGGTGCTGCTGGGGGAGAGGGAGAGAGAGTGGGGGAGGGAGAGGGAGAGGGGGGAGGGAGAGGGAGAGAGAGGGGGGAGGGAGGGAGGGAGGGAGGGAGGGAGAGAGAGAGAGAGAGAGAGAGAGAGAGAGAGAGATGGCTGGCTTGGGGGGGAACTTTTGCCTTTCTTTCCTCCCACCCGTTAAATCCCTCTCCAGCATTCTTAGCCAGCTGCTTCTCTGCACACCCCTCTCATGTCCCTTCTTTGTTTTTCCTTCGCTCCCCACTTAAAATGTGGTTACAAAGCATGGATCCACAGGGATTCTCAGGATCTTTGCATTGGGTCACCCCAAATTCACCATCAGATCACATAGCATGTCCATGGCTACAGCCTGCACCCAAAAAATCACGCACCCACTGTTGCCTGGGGCTGTAATGGTGCAAAA